GTTACGGCAGATCGGGGCAGTCGCACAACACAGTTTCGCGGGCCTGTCGAACTAACCGCGGGAAATTTTTAAAGAGGAACATGGGCTGCGAGACAGTGAGGATAGAATCCCACCTCACTCGGCTATATGGGCAATAATCATGCATGGGTTGCCGACCATCTTCGTTTTCAACAGCCTCGAGCGCTGCTGTGACAGAACCGAAGTTCGGTCTGTTTTCAGTGCAGCTGAGACGTCATGCACTTTAAGTGACAGCTTGAGGTGTCTCGTAAATGGCACTTATGCCACGCAGAATATACATATTCATTTTATGTGTTTTATGACACCATGGAGGACGGTGACGAAATGGAGTCACGATCTGGGGCGAAAGGCAAACGTCACCAGGAAGGACACAGCAGACTGAGGCCGCTGCAAAGTGCACCGGTGAAATCAACTAGCCAATCAGCAATCGGCCTTTGCTCACGCATGCGGTCCATGAATGACCGGTGGAACGTTCGAGATTTTCCCCACGAGGGGGTCGTCGCGTAGGAAACAGCCAACCCACGAACACCACGCCAGAGGCCGAAATGATCTACAACCCTTTGGAGTTCAATACAAAAAGGTGCGTTTTAGGGGGGTTTTAAGTCATGTTATGCAGGCTAGCAGAATAAGGAGCTTGTTTCCAGACTTCGCCTTACCACTATATCATTCACCCATCGACGCATAATGGCTAGCAACAACTCTCCAGACGCGCGCGTCCCCAATCCACTACGGGGACAACAACGCAACCCGCCGTCCAACATGATGAAAAAATACCCTGGTTTTAAACGTGGAACAAACGTAAAAATATTTTGGGGAATCCACATAAGAGAATGACTAGAGGGATTTGGGCAGAGAGGGAGAGAGTGTAGTCGGGCAATAGGGGGCGAATAAAACGTTGGCATTGAGGCTTGTAGAGACCTGGGATTGGGAGGCGGGGTTAGATTCGGGGACGAGCAGTTCGAGAGAGCAGGAGGGGAAAGAGGGGTATTTCTTCTCCTCCTCCTCCTCATTCTACACGCGTGCGCGGGATCGGTTCCGGCGGGTGGCGAACAAACAAGCACAAACACACAGACAGACATAAAGACAAGCTGATGGGCGGAGACAACCAGAACCAGACATCGAAGGCTCGCGGCGTAAACGCAGTGATAAATCAACTAGAACGCACAATAAAAAGAGGGTGCTTGACAAGAGTCTGCATCTTGTCTGGCCATGCACAGAAGGCGTGTGTGTGTGTAGGCCTGGGGTGGGCCAGAGCGGAGCAGGATGATGGGTAGCAAGCCCAGCGCTATTGATCGACTTGGGTGGAGAGGTAATCATCCGGTCTCCGGTGCTGTTCTAGCGCACGAATTGTCAGCTGATCGTGGGGAAGATCGGATTTTCGGCGCATCGGCACTTTCTCCTTCTTGCGAACTAGGAAAGGCAGGGCGGTAGTGTCTTGACCTTCCCCACCGAGCTTTCGCACCTAATGTAAGGAATATGAAATTACATATAGTATACGAGTAAAAAATCGTGTTAGAAAGTGTATAAAGAAAAACGCATGACGGTAAATGGTCAAATGTTTTTCAACCCCCCCCCTTCCCCTTACAAAACTAAGCCTGTCTATCTACAACAAAGTACCACAACGGACCAGAAAAGACAGGAGCCTGTAATGAATTCATTATGTCCGACGGAAGACACTATATTTGCCAGCCCTCTACAACTCCAGGTGACGTTTAAGTCGGTCTCTGAGAAGGTAACGTTAGCTTGGAATAGAGAGACGACATTGCTGCCCAGGCTAGTACCTACACGGACAGCCAAAACCGCTCAAACAGATCCGCCGAGATAGCACCTGCATAGACAGCGAAAGGGCGCTGTTTTGGCGCAAACATCCCTTAACCGGTGCTACCGTCTGAACATTTGGCAGTCCACAGGAGACAGCTATTCCAACGAACAAAAGGATAGACTGAAATAAATGAAGTGACAATTTCAACGTGATTCAGAAGGAACAAGGGAAGCAAAGGCCATATACACAGTTTCGCTGGCTAATATAATTTAGGAGTGGTGGCTATTTGTTAAACTACCTCTGCCACTGGTCGTTCGCTTAATCCCGCCGTTAATGCCTACAGGATCATTTTGATTCTCACAAATAACAGAAACGTAGCTGCGATTGCCGATTCATCCAAGTGGCCGCAGCTTTGCCGTCTGGAAGACAAGGGGCGGGGATGTTCGAAATGGCTGGCAAAGGTCAATGGCGTCACACACGACCAGGTTCGCGCAGACATGTACCTGACGCCCTGTACACACATCGTATATATGTTAGATGCGGGCAAATAAGGTGGATGAATACCTCTTCCTCGCTCTCCTGTCGGAGTGAACGAAGGGACGCGTTAACATCATCATCGACATCAGCAGTGGCATCACCGTTACTGTAAAATGGATCATCCACAGCAGCGGAGGTAGGCTCGACGCAGGCAGAAGCTTTACCAGGAGGTGCCGTTCGAGTCTTGCACTGTTGATCAGTCGAGGGGAGAGAGGAGGCTGCCGGAGCGGGGGCAACCTCGAGCAGGGGTCCGTTGTCCCCATTGGTGGACGAGGAGGAGGAGGGATTGATGCCACCTTCACCGGCTACAACCAAGTGGTAGAGGGGATTCCGCTTGGCTGTCTCGTTGAGAGTTAACCAGGCTTTCTCCCTCTTTTTCATCTCTTCTCGCTCCCTAGAGGGGTAGAAAAGGTTTGCTGCCAAGATGGATAGTATTGAAGACATCGCAATAACAGTGTCAATGGGGCTAAATGCAACGCTAAAGGTATGCCTCTTTGTATGCAATGGTTTGGCAGACCCAATGCATGGAGTACTCCTTAATCCCAGGGCAGTGGCATGAAGGAGAAACGAAATGCGAACATTCTGGCCTGCCTTTGAACCTCGGTCTAGAGTACTTACGGGTGAACAAATGCGAGAAGTCATCACTACCTGAGGGGCATTAATGAGACCTGGGGAAAGGAGGACCAGTTCAGGCCCCTTGGGCCGGGAAGATTCGGACGCCAAATCAAAATGGTGCATCCATACTCCATGGATAAAAACCACGTCGAATTGATATACCAAAGCAAGAGGAATACGCCAGGAGGCGAGCTAAGAGAAACAAATGAATTTATAACACAGGCTGCCAGTCGCTGTCGGAGTGAGGATGCTAACCCTTCGGATTGCTGTCAAATCGGTTGCCATGGAAATTAGTTTGGACTACCTTACCTTAAGGGTAAAAAACAGTTGCTATCTCCACGGATTGCCAATGACACCTACGTCACATGCCTGCTTAAGCGGGACCAGTAACACAATGACCGGACGCGCCCAATTCATATCTCTTGTTGCCGACCTGTTTTGTGGAATGACCGGTTGGTGACGGCAAATAAATTAGGAATATCCAATACAGTTTCCCTAGTTTTTGCCGTTAATAATTCTTGCTACTTATAGATTTACTGGTGCAAAAAACACGACCGGGAGGATTAATCAATGTTTATTAGAAACTGGTTACGGGCTTATTGCTTCCTTCGACAACAAGTTCCGGAACTGCCTAGCAGACTACACCGACAATAAGGACATGCCAATTCTCAGAATGACAAGAACGATGCAGTGCCGGCCCCTCTGCATGACGCCAATGTTTTCTAGAACATATAACGTGCTACTAACTACATATTAGTAGGCAGAACGTATATTACTTAAAGTTCGACGTGCCGTTTTCCCCGCTGGTTGATTTCCTTGCTTACCTTTGGTTGTCGGACATCTTGATTCGGTAACCTCTCCTTATCCCCCCGACTATAACCTATCCATGTCATTGTGTAAGACTGCTGGTCAGATCATTTTGAGTTACCAAAGTCTTTCTTAACCGTCTTCTGACACTGCCTTGGACTTATTCAAGTGAAGAAACCCAAACTACCGAGCGAGTTACGACAGCTGGGCGCTCTCTGTAATCGTTTCCGCTTGTGTCGCAACACCATACAATCGGCTCGCATCACGGCCATAGCGCGCCTGTGTAGATACGCAGTTCTCATTACTAAAGGTCACAGAATAAAGTACACTATCGTTGACTCGACAAACGGTGCCACAGCCTTACTGATAGTTCTGCATGATACCGGGGTTGCCGCAACTGAACGAGAAACCATGTCACAAGACAAAAACCGAAGTTTGAGAGGATCCTTTTGATTTCCACACAACATAATAAACCATAGTCTGTGAACTACGGAGGTTGAAGGTGCCGATAATGTTGATTTTAGAATAAGCTCCTTTATGATGACACCAGGTCGTGTTGGAGATTTGAGGAGGCTTGAACGCAGCTAAAAATCCATTTCCCGGGAATTGAACGACTTTTTTGGGGCTATCCATTTGGAAGCCAAAGGGACCGTGTACTGCGATTTGGCACGCAGTTCCCTCCGTGGCCTTCCAGTTGTGATTGCACTCTTCTTATCCTCTTAATACAGCGAGTGGTTGTGTCGCGGGGAGTGTGTACAGGTCACCCTCGTTTACACCAGAGTTAGTTTTGAGTTCTTAAGTCGTTTGCACGCGTTGTACAGCCTTTCCATATCAAATTTGCAAACAAACAGGGAGAAAGGGGACTTATGGAGAAGGTGTAGAAAAAAACGCAGTAAGAGTGTGTGGACAGGTCTAAGCGAGGGTTGACGATGAATGAACAACAGGCGAGGGATAAAAATGACGATACTGCGCAGAAAAAGAAGACTGGGAGGACGAAACATGTCTAGCGACAGTTATGACCTCAGAAGCCACCGGGAAAGAAGATGATAGTGGCCGTATAGAGATGAGGAAAAATAAGAAGTTAAAAAAAGTAAGGAAAGGATGAAGAAGATGGAATGAGAAGGAAAACGAAGAAGCGAATATCGATGATGGTGCTAATCTAACAAACACTGAGGCGATGAAGAACAAGACAAAGAACACAAGTGAAGAGGGTAAAAAATAACATCTAGTTTGATGTTGCAGCTTGCATATCAGTTACAGGCCAAAAACGAGCTCATGCTCACATGACTCGGTTGGGCACGGGAATATGAGTCCCCGTAGTACACAGCTGACATTGCCCCAAGGTCGAGGGGGAGAGAGGTAGTAGGAACCCTCTGAAAATTAGGCAAGGTCACCTATAGTGGTGAGGGGGTGTATATTCCCGTGTCTGGTCCATGATCCCTCCTGATAGCAGTGGTTTATTGCGGTGATCCTCAAGAATTGACAGATATTTGTTGTAAAATACAGAATTCAGTTGAGGTTGCGTTAGTTCTGCCTCTAATCAGTGCGCCCCTTTGCGGTCTCAATGCCATCTTCTGTTATCGCCTTAGCAGACAACTATTCCAACCAAAAGAACGTTTGCGCTTAGGCAATGAAATTGTTCTTGACAGTTGTCGGGTTCAGGTTGTAGTCGGAGCCAAAAAATCTACTGCTGGCGACGAGGACTTTTCGATGGCTAATAGCGACGATCGCGCCATAGTCGTAACTGTCATCAACAAATGGCGCTTTTGAGCTCTTGCCCCCTAACCCCCCCCCTCTCCTTTGATCCACCTTATCGTTATCGGTAATTAAATTAGCCAAAATTAAATTTTTTTGGCTTGTTTAGAGCCCCCGAGTGCATCACACCTATGCCGCCACCTGCGAATCGGATATCAATGAATTACGCGAGCCTGGTAGTCATCTGGTGGATTCTAGGTGAATTACTCAGGAAAACCTGCTTGAGCAGTCAACTTACTGTATCAGACTTGGTGGATTCCGGACGTTACAGTAGGTTGGGCAGGTAACTTGATCCAAATGTGATTAAACTCGCGTCGTCCGGCGTGGCCTCGTAGCTCAGGTGGTTAGAGCGTTGGCTGCGCTAAAGCCTTCCCCTTACTGCGTGGGTTCGAATCCCACCGCGGCGCCGAGTTTTTCTCAGTTGGGTCAATATGAGTTATTCAAATTCTGCCAAAATATCAATGAATGGGATATTGTAAAAGTGAAATGGTCCTTTTCAAGTGGATGGTCTGTTTCTCTCGTCTACACACAAGATGCACCTAAGAGCCCCAGCATCTGACAACGAAAAAAAGTTAACCATTGCCTGCCCACTTTAGCCGAAAAACAAAAAGCACAAGCGGCAAATGGCGGTGCGGTCGTAAGTCGAAGGTGGGAATCCACAGAGCCCAGGCCGTCGGGGCGACGGGTTTAGAACATTGCAAGGCAGAAGCAGCAAAGACGACAGTCGACACACTGATTCTTCATCCCTTACGCCCGTATGCTCGTAGCGTACTTCGTTTTGCCCTGCTTCTCGCGTCTGAAAAGGGAGCACCATGCATCCGATCGCTCGAGTAGGCGATGAGGAAACCACAAGGTGGGCGCAGCCAAGATTTACGTCGTCGGATTTGTTTATAAAGAAGAAGATTTTCACGGAGCCATCTGCTCCCTCTCCTCCGAAGAGAAGATAAAGCCGGGACCGCTAAAGGCGTGTGTGTGGCCAGTTCGGCCACGTGGTGTTGGGACTATGCGCAGTGGCTGGCGTGGTCTGAAGCCTGCGCCTAGGCGTCCCACCACAGCAGCGGTCGTGGAATGTGGGGATCGAGCACTCCCTGAATGATGCCCGCCGTGCTCCAAACTGGCCTCCGTTTTAGTCCAGTGCAGCCCCTTGTGGGATCCATAAATGTTCAAATATTACACCTCATCCTCATACCGGCGAGGGTAAATTTCATAGAGCGATCGCTGCATGTGCGCTTTATGAGGCCTTGATGACAGATAACATGGACACGTACGCTGAAGAATACGTCATGCATAGATAAAGCGTGCTTCTGCGTGTGTGTGGGTGGGTGGGTGGAGACCAACGCGGACCTCGATCTCCCGCCATCTCTCCAGGAAACCATCAGGGCCGTGCAGCAGCTCTCCAGCGGGAAAGCACCCGGATCAGACGCGATCCCTGCTGAGGTCTACAAGCATGGAGGTCCCCAACTGATGGATCACCTGACTGAGCTCATTGAGCAGATGTGGCGTCAAGGTGAAGTCCCGCAAGATTTCAAAGACGCAACAATCGTGCACCTATACAAGCGAAAAGAGAACCACCAAGTCTGCGAAAATCACCGCGGCATCTCCTTGCTGAACATCGCCGGGAAGATCTTCGCTCGCATCCTCCTCAATCGTCTGAGAAACCATCTGGAACAGGGCATTCTACCGGAAAGCAAGTGCGCTTTCCGATGTCATCGCGGGACCACGGATATGATCTTCGCCGCCCGTCAACTTCAGGAGAAGCGTCAGGAGATGCGGACCCACCTGTACTCTACCTTCGTGGACCTGACGAAATCCTCCGACACGGTGAATCGCGAAGGACTGTGGAAGATCATGCAGGAATTCGACTGTCCGAAGTGATTCACTCAGATGGTGTGTCAGCTGCACGACGGTATGATGGCCCGAGTCACGGACAACGGAGCTGTCTCAGAGGCATTCGCAGTGACCAATGGAGTGAAGCAGGGCTGCGTACTGGCGCCTACCCTCTTCAGTCTTATGTTCTCTGCCATGCTGATGGACGCCTACCGCGACGAACGCCCCGGGATTCGCATCGCCTACAGGACGGACTGTCACCTTCTGAATTAACGGCGGATGCACTTCCAATCGCGCGTATCCACAACCACCGTGCACGAACTCCTCTTCGCCGACGACTGCGCCCTGAACACCACCTCGGAAGCGGAGATGCAACGGAGCATGAACCTGTTCTCCGCCGCCTGCGAGAACTTCGGTCTGGTCATTAACACGCAGAAGACGGTGGTGATGCACCAACCGCCAACCAACTCAGCCACAGCCGCCAACGCGCCGCAAATCAACGTGAATGAGACCCAAATGCAAGTTGTGGAGAACTTCCCGTACCTGGGCAGTACTCTCTCCCGCAACACCGAAATCGATGACGAAGTCGCCAACAGGATCTCGAAAGCCAGTCAACACTTCGGTTGCCTCCAAAGCACAGTTTGGAATCGTCACAGTCTGCAAGTGAACACGAAGCTGAAGATGTACAAGGCCGTCATCCTGCCGACGCTACTGTACGGAGCAGAGACCTGGACGGTGTACACGAGGCAGGCACGCCGACTGAACCACTTCCACCTCAGTTGTCTTCATCGCATCCTGAAGCTGAACTGGCAGGATCGCATCCCCGACACTGATGTGCTGGAACGGACGAGAATCCAGCTGCGCTGGAGCGGCTACCTGGTGCACATGGACGACGAGCGACTACCCAAACGACTCTTCTACGGAGACGTCGCGACGGGTTCTCGCCGTCAAGGAGGCCAAATTCGTCGATACAAGGATACTCTGAAGTTCTCACTGAAGCGTCTGCAAATCAACCCGACGAACTGGGAAGAGCTCGCCCGCGATCGTCGGACATGGAGTAGAACAGTGAGGACAGGCGCTGCTATCCACGAATCCAACCGCATTGCCGCCGCCTAAGCGAAACGCGAAGCCCGCAAATCCCAACTTCGCCCAGTCCGCAACGCCGTCGCACAACCGCTTCCAACGTGTTCTTAATGTCAACAGACATTCCGGGCTCGAATCGGCCTCGATGAACATCTTCGGATCAACCGTACTTCTCGAACTGCGCCAACCATCGTCCCCCAGCCCACCTCTTCCTCGTCCTCTCTGCCGCCCACTAACTCTGACAATTCTTCTGTACCACCCCTTCCATCCTCCTCCTCCTCCCCCCTCCTCCCCCTCCTCCACTGCCCCAACGGCGGCCGCTCAGTCGGCCGCCTCACACATCAACCCCGACACAACAACCGACACCAACCCCGCCTCTCCCGACTCCAGCAACGAGGATCAGGCCTACACCTGCCCTCACTGCGATCGCACCTTCACCTCACGCATCGGCCTGGTCGGTCGCTTGCGAATTCATCGCACAGAGACTGGCGAACCAGTGCCCAGAGCACCAACCTACACCCACCGAGCTCGACTCAACTGCCCAAACTGTCCTCGCACTTTCAGGCATCGCGTGGGCCTATTCGGCCACTTTCGCTTCCACGACGACCTGCGCTAGACAACCGCCGGTAACACCACACATCCGCACACTCTCTACCTTGCTCCACCACCATCACCCCACCACACATCAACACTCACCCACCGCATGCACCCAACTGCCACCTTCCACGCAAGTGGGAAGTGTGCATCTCGACTATTTCCCCTTGCGTCTTCGGTTGTAGGGGTGACTTGAGTCCGAGACTATCCCGACACGTCAAGCGTCGAGGATAGGAAGGTTGCTGATAGCCGCCCGATCTCGGTTCACGCAGTTCGCCACGTTGTGTGTGTGTGTGTGTGCGTGTGTTGTGTGGAGTGGCGGACTGGTGGGCTGGGGACGGGCTGAAACAGCACCTTCCACGGCCCTCTCACGCAAGTGAGAGACACGCCGTTCAACCCCGTTGTGCGAAATTCTGGTGTGTTTGTGTGTATGTATGGGTATCCAGGTCGTGCACGTGGCGCGAGCAGGCATGGTCAGTCGACCGTGTCAGCCACCGTGCCCATTTCCTACTCCAGCTTGCCGACCGGCTCGGACGGCAGCTGGGGTGTGGGAATGGGAAGGGAGATTAAGGTCGACGACTCAGCGCACTTTCCTCACTATAAACAATCTGACGCGCTTGAAGCTATCATGGTGCGCTAAAAGCCGTGGCTTCGAAGGTTGCCAACTGACGGGGTAACTTGGACCTCCGCCTTAACTGGAGGCGGTCTGAGAGTCAGGCTGCAATGGCTCCTTTTTAATGTGGCCTTTATGGCACTCCCACCACAGTGTGGGATCCGAGCCAGGCGTTGGCGGCACGCCTAGTTGCGGCTTCGGCCGTGACAGCCTCCGAATCTCCGTTGTGTTGGTTAAAATCCTGGTCATTTGTTGTGTGGACCAGGGGGTGTGGTGGAACGCCAAGGTGAGGATCCGTCCGAGCCATCCACCTGCGGCCTTCCCCGTCTCCGGTCTTCTTGACTCTGTCTTGACACCGGGCCCAGGCGGGGGAGGAGGAGAGAGTGTAGGTAGATGCTACGCAAGTCTACTGGCACTATAAACCCCTGCGTAAGTCACCGTACCTGCTCCCACAATGCAGTCTGTGGGGCACACGGTGGACATCATCGAAATCGATGGTCGAACTGTCGTGGGTGGGTGGAGAGGTAAACGGTCCGTGAGCGGGTGCTGCGCTAGTATCAGCAAACCATGACCCCCGCAGCCTCATATGCGCTTGCAGTTCCCTGATACCTGGTTCCCTGTCGGTAGATGCGCTTGCGCTCCCGCTGGATATACAGGTGGTGGGCATCGCTGCCCAGTCATCCTCTTCGCTTTGGCCCCTGTTGGAGTGCTGTTGTTGTTATTGTTGTTGGCGAAAAAAGCCTGGTCATTTGCTGCGTGGACCAGGGGGTGTGGTGGCATGCCTAGGTGCGGCTCCGGCCGTACCGGCCACCTGCGTCCTCCGCACACCTCCGGTCTCCTTGACTCTGTATTGACACCGGGTCCAGGTGGGGAATAGGGAAGAGAGAGTGCGGTAAATGCTGTGCAAGTCTACTATCATTTTAAACTGATTCACGCGCAAGTCACCGTCTCTACCTCCGTCTTTATGTGGAGCAGACGGTGGACATCGTCGTCAACGACGGTCGAGCTGTCGGACGGAGAGGTGATATAGGTGAAACTTGGACTGCAGCGTCTTGGTCGCTATCGGAATAGGCACATGAGATGTTCGTGTCTCGGGACGGTGTGAGCACGTAGGATTTGCGCGATGGGTATTTGCTGGGCCTCCAGTCATTGATTCGCCAGTCGCGCTGCGATGGATTCGTAGGTAACCGATCAGCCCGATGCTCGATTAAACTTTGCGACTTTAGAAAAGGCGAGTTGGTACTGACGATGGCAGATGTTTTTTGTGTCCCTTGGGGTGGGCGTGAAGAAGCCGAACCCAGAGCAAACCTGGACCGAAACTCAATATTGCAATAGGGAGAGCCCGAAGGCGTGTCTTCGGTGACGGTATCAGTGCTGGTGGTGGCGGCGGCGGCGGCGTTTTATGCTGTGCAAGGCGGGTTGATTGCCCTGCCATTGCAGTGGATGCGTAGGTGTCTAACGACGCCCAACTCTGCCACATATGTTAGCTGACACCATGCATATGCCGTCAGGGTTTAGATGTCAGTGACGTCGGTCGGCGGCCTTTGAGTCCTGTGCATTAATCAACACGCTTTGAAGCCCCCTCTTCAGTTGCCTTCGTAAATCGTTGCTCACGTTTTCACGGCTGAGCAAGAAGACTGCCACCCCATGCCTCTTGATTTAATTTCGGGTCATCAGGCTGCCTATGTATTGTCGCATTTGCACGCCCTGCCTGATATCAAAACCGGTGTAGACCTACGTAGGCGCTCGTCACGTAGCCGTTCTGCCACACTTGCCTGCATTTGCATAGAATTTATGCCGAGCACATCTCTTCTGGAATTGAGTGCCCAGATTCCTCACCTCCCACCTCCCCTTCGGCATCCTTCGTAGGCAAATGAGATGGAAGTGAGTCAGCTTTCACAAAAGCCTACGCCACTGTCCCCATACAGTCGCTGATGTCTAGTAGCTTACCTCACCACTTGAATCGTATACACACACAAAAACGTCTTCCAGCGGACTCATCCTGGGAATAGCAGTTACATTATCATCAATTGTGTATCAAAAGTGGTTGCCGAAGGTTAAATTGGAGTTGTATTTGATTGTTTCTGTGTTCAGGCGGGGACCGACCGACAAACCGCCATACCTTACCTAACACTTTATCTGCCTGGTACTGCTTTTTCGGAAATTTTGCCGATCACATCCATTTTCGACTTGCCGTCTAGGAACCTAAAGTAGTAGAAGCAGGCTGTGCAGCAAAACATTTCACGATATCAGTGCGAGAAAGAAGACGCAGTCTATAAAACAAACCACTGGGCAACGGGCTCGTGACCCAGTGGTTAGAGGCGTGGACTTATAACTAACAGGTAGCGAGTCCGAGCCTCGGGTGTTCCACACTTGGGGTTGGGTATGACTGGCTGATGACGGGAATAAGCCAGAAATGGCCATTCAGGTCTCCCTTGTCTTTGACGGCTCCATCTCATATCTATATATATAAAAATGGAAGGGTTTTTTTTCTGTGTTATATCTAATCTCCGGAAGTACTGCACCGATTGCGCTGAAATTCGGACACAACCCGACCAACGCATAGGGCCGGGTTTTTGTCTGTTCAGTTGTGTACTTATGCCGATGGTACGCCTGTGATGGGTAAAAAACCGGATTTTTTCCGGCATAACAACGCCACCTGGTGCGGCCACTTGACCTACATCGCGCGCGGACACATGTGCGCCCAGACTGTGGCACTTGACCGACATTCGCTCAAACACACGTGCTCCGCTCGACAGCCGCTCTCACCCCACCAGCCACCCTGCAGGCACTTGAGTAGGACCTCCACCCTCTCTGGGCCGATGCAATATGGGCCGCCAGAGCAAACCACTCACCCTGTGGCAAAAAATCACGCAACACTTAGACGCCACTTAAAATTGTCCCACAGTCCACATAATAAGGCCGTCACCGCTGCCTCGGGGATTCTCGGGGGTTAGGACTGGATGCAATTAACACCAGCGCCTGCCACCCCTCCCGCACAACCCACATAAGGGGCCTGTCACCCAGTGTCAGCTCAGTATTGTGCAGCTCGGCTTGCGGAAGCCCGGTTGCGGCCACGGCTGCCGCGTTCTGCCGCATCAGGTCTGCTTCGTTCAGCAACGGGATGAACACAACAAGTTGAGAGTGGTCGAATGGCGTCAGCGAGGAACAGCAGACCAGCGTCAAACACGACTCCGTGCTCAGCATTCACGCAGCCTGATGCTGTTGTAAACGACGGTACGACAACAACCGTTGGATGACTAGTGATTTTAGGGTAAGGTGGTACCATATATACCGGCAGTCGGAGACCGATTCCAACGCAGCATCCATCTACTTATCGGGATGGTAGCGATGTATATCACTTCAACGTTAAGATGATAAATCCAGTCAGGGGCGAGGTAACGCACATGAAATGCAGCGCAATGAACCACTACTCCTTCCGACTTAGGATTCAACGGAATGTACGTAATCCCCCTTTCGAAATACCATCAATTGTTTCACCAACGCATTGTGGATATGTATGCAAAAACCGAAACTGAACGCCTGTTTTTCCTTCGCTTGAATCAGAATAAGCTACGCTCTGAAGACTATATTCCTTTTTATGATGCAGTTGTAAACGACGGTAATACAGATAACGTTGTAAGGGTAACGCTTTTGCCGTCCACATACACAGAGAGTCCACGCCATATGTTCGAGTACGCTCCAGATGTAATTGCTTAATTTTGTCAGTACGGACGTCCAGACCTATTCACTACATTCATATGCAATCCAGCTTGGGGGGGGGGGTATTTATCAGCTCTTACTTCCTGAGCTATCGCCGGTGAATAGGTATGACATCACAGCACGTGTCTTCAGGAAGAAACTGAAATCGCTGATGAAGTTCATGGTGAAACGCGAGGTGGTTGGGTCTGTGCGCCGCTGGATGTATTAGCTGGAACGGCAAGAGGGGACTGCCCCATGCACATGTATTGATCTGGCTCTATAACAAGATCACTCACAACGAAATCGACGATGCCATATGCGCTGAATTACCTGACGCCGACGTCGACATTGATTTGCATGAAGTTGTGGCGAAGAATATGATACATGAACCTTGAGGTGCACTGAATCCTAATTCTCCCCCCTCCCAACCCCCGGCATGATAGACGGAAAATGCTCTCAGCGATATCCTCGGGCATTCGCATGCAACACAGTTACCGGTAACGACGGAAGTCCCTTATACCGAAAACGATCAGCAGTAGACATCGGCAAATTGGCAATCGTACGAATGCAAATCGGTGACATACAAGTCGATAACCGCTGGGTGGTTTCCTATTCGCTTTTGCTTTTAAATGCAAACGAAGTTCACATAAACGTGGAAAACTGCAATTCCGGAAAATGAATGTGGTACGTTTGTAGATACGGAAGCA